CCCCTCCCCCCACCTTTTGGAATACATCTGGGGGCTGGGGAAACCACTTCATCAAAGCAGTGTTAAAATCTGGTCTTGTTGCAAAAGCTTATTGTTAAAAATGTCATATTACCGAGTTTCATGCAAACCAACTCTGGTGTGTCTAAATTGACCAGGCTGGAATAAGATGTCTGGAAAGCATTATTACAAAATCTGTTTTGCAAATAAAGTTGGCAGACAAAAGTCTAAATTACAGTAATAATAGTAAATTTTTCTATTTATTAATATTCACAGGTTTCATTCTACTGCAGGTATTACATCAGTGGAATTATTTTGGTTTTGAATTGAGTATTAAATACTCCCCTTTGGGATTGTACAGGTGCAAATGAATATAAATGTGATTGGCAGAAACTGAACTGCATTCTGATTTTACAAAGCTGCTTTTAAAACTTTCAAAGCTGGCGATTTAAAAAATAATGTCCCATGGTGGATCAGACTTGAGAATGTTGCCTCATCTTTTACAGTTGCTTATTAAAGCAGAGCCTTAAGCATCAGGAATTGGTAACAATAATATTGTGTGATCTTCAACTCTGAATTTATAGATGGGTTTAACTCTTTTAAAAACATACTGAATTAGGTAAGTTTTGGCTGCTTCTCTGAACTCTGCTTTATTTTCTTTTTTCCTCCCTTCCTTTATTGAGGACATTTTGATGTGGCATAAAGTAAGCTTGCCCCTGTTAGTCTTTGCTTCTGTGAGGAGCAATAGACAATGTAGCATAGGAGCTTTAACATTTTTCTAATGAATTTTGTCAAACCTAGCTGCAGTGCAAGCCACTATGAAGAATTTCATAGCTACTGTTGTCTATGGAAGATAAGAGCAAATCATTGTATGAACCTGTATCAGAAGTAAGCTCACACGCTCTAAACTTCCACCGTCTGCCATGATCTGGTCTTCACTCCTTAGCACGCCTTGGCAAACTCGCTCTTCCACTGCTCCTTATCCTAAGTGCTTTATTTCATCCTTCCACACATTGTGAGCTGCTTGCAGCTCTCCTGATAGGATCAGTTTGCATTTTCTTTGCCCAGAATAGCCTAGCTAGTAATCAACTCTGAAAGGTTCTCCCCCGTAAAGGCAAAAACGTAACTTAAAGCCTGCTGTTAGCAAGTAAGGCTGAAAAAGTACTGCTAATATTAATTTGTGTTAGGATTTCTTTGGCTTTTTTTTCCCCTCAAGAATGCTAATAATGTGTTTAAAAACTTGGTCTGTGTTTAAGAATGTGAATCACTGTGGAAATATTTGGATGCATGTGAACAGCAGAGTTGTTAATTCTGAATTGAAAAACTTAAAATACTGAGGTCCTGAAGAACTACAGGCCCAAAATGTATTTCATTTGAACCTCCCCACAGTGAGTTACTGATTCATTTCAGTGGAAACCATCAACAGTACTTCTCATTCTGCATATGCCTTTCTTGTCCTCTGTTACAATTTTAAAATAGAATAAATTTTCAATCAGTTTGTCTTTTCTCCCCACCCCTTTTTCCTGAAATCTGGGAGTGTGGAGTTGGCTACAAATATGATACTGATCTTAAAACATTGAAACTTCAGTTTTTTGCCTACCTCACAGTAAAACTCATTCTGAAAAGTGTTGTTAGGTTTATCAACGTTTTAAATTTATTTTTTGGGTCTTCCCCTAGTCTGAGTTCTATAACATAGTGGGTTTTTTAAATGCCTTTGGAAGATGATCCAAGAGCTTAAGAATTGGTTTACTATTTGCTTTTGCTAGGTCCTGTGAAAAAGGGCAAAGAGCAAAACACGGAGCGCAGCTTTTTTCTCAGAATGAAGTGTACACTGACTAGCAGGGGAAGAACAGTGAATATAAAGTCTGCTACATGGAAGGTAACTAATGCAAAGGAATATTTATGCAGTTTGGCAGCTTCCTCTTCAGATGTCATAACACTGTTTCAACATTTTTACTTCATGTAATGAGCTCGAGTTTCACTAAGTACTTAACTAATTTAATAATTGTGCTTCAGTATGCTGAATTTTAATACTGAATATATCATGGAGGTAACTGAAACAATGTTTTAAAATTAGTTTTTCAAAACGCTTAATTTTCCATTTTAAATTAGAGGTCATTTACTTAGTAAAAATTGTAATTACTAAATATGTTTGCATAAAGCCTTCTCCTCTGAGAAAAAAAAATACTCAACACCACTTATGCTGATACCTGATTTCTTTTGATTTGACACTGTAAATGTGATAGTTGAGGTCTCTCTGAAGGACTTCAGTATCATTCTTTCTGAAGCTGCTGGGCTATTGCTTTTGCAACAGTTGGAACAAAGAGCCCAGCCTGGTAACTTTCTGCAGTGAATGCATTTTCTCCTCTGGACAGAAAGTAACCTTTTACTGTATCGAGTGGTATTATGGCTCACGATCCTCTTCTATAATTTAATTTAGTTATTCTGGATCAAACAACTTTTTTTTTCTTCTTTGCTGCTGTCTGTAAACAATTTCTACGTATGAATGGTTAAAAAAACCCAAACAAACCCAAAATGCAAAACTTCTTGAAGAATATATTTCATCTCTAACATCACTTCTGCAAAAGATCTAAAATGGATATTGCTACTATTACCATAACTTTAAATTTAAAATAGTAAGATGCTTTATACTGAGGGAATTGCTTACTAGTGTCATTATTAACATAATTTTCAAAGAACAGTTCACAGAAATGCAGAAATGTCTAACATTGCTTCAGCGAGTGCCCAAGAAGAAAGAGTTGGTATCCTGTGTGTTCATCACACTCTGTGTAGTGTGAGGAGAACTGCTGCTCTCCTTTAGCCATCTGAAAGCCCTGCTGCCTTTCTGTTGCTATTATGATGATGGGTGGGGAGCGGAAGGACTTTGCTCCGGGTGTTCTAATGGAGGCATGATTGTGTTGTCTGACAGACAAGAACCTGGTCTCTTTTTAAAATACAACTTTCCCATAGGTACTCCACTGCACTGGACACATTCGTGTATATGACACGTGTGGTAATCAAACTCACTGTGGCTACAAAAAGCCTCCCATGACGTGTCTGGTGTTGATCTGTGAACCTATTCCTCATCCATCAAACATTGAGGTCCCTTTGGACAGTAAAACGTTCCTCAGTCGTCACAGTCTTGATATGAAATTTTCCTATTGCGATGAAAGGTAATATATATTTTGTACTTAAAAAAAAATTCATTTGAAGGATTTGCAGGGTTGGGACATGCTTGCTAATGTGGGCCTTGTACATTTACATAGTCTTACTCGTTAACTTGATTCATCTGCACAGAGAATCATCGGTGGGATGCTTTGGCTTTTACTGAGTGGCCAGCATGTCTTGTTTTAAAAGTCAGATTTTTAAATCTCAGAGTGCAGCATTATTACTCTGGAATAAATCTTTTGCCTACAGTTAACTGCCTGTTCAAACTGGTCTTTAGTGTAGTGGCAGTGATTAAATGGAAATGAGACAATTCTTCTGGACACTGAAAAAACAGAAAGGATTTAGGTTTGTCAAAGATGGTGGTGCATTTTGGTGACCAAAAAGAATGTGTGTGTAATACTTGTCAGATGCATTTTATTGCTACCACTTCCTTCCCTCTCTGGTCTTCAGGAGATCAGTTTCTGCTCTGTCCAGTCCAAAAAAACCCCAAAAGTTCAGCTGTACTTTTAATGCAATACATCTGCTATTGAAAATAAGATTTTGTGTGATGGTACAAATCATGGATGTAGGCGAATACATAAGATGCTTTTACTGTACTTTGTAAACTTAGCTTGACAAATATGTAAAAACAGAAGTGGAGGAAATAATTGGCCTGAGATTTTTGTTGTTTGGGTGTTTTTTTTGTGTTTTTAATTGAGTATTATTTGTTACTGTTTCCTTTATTTTTTTTTTTGGTAACAAAAATGAACTTCGAATTAGTTGCTGCAGCTACATGCAAAGAGATGTTAGTGCAGGTTGTTTTCCACCCTCTGCAGTAACTACCTTTCTAGGACTGCTGGTGTCCCACGAAAGGTACTTATTTGGTCATTTTCTGCATGGAGAATAGGGCAAAATAAATGCATTCCCTTGGTTAGCACTGCCCTCTAGGGGCTGAAGAAAATACTGTTTTCTGGAAAAATTGGCAGTGGTTGAGTGGGAAGAATAAATCTGAGTCCTACTTCTCTTAGTTGTAGGTTTAAAACTGTTGAAGCTTATCTTTGTTATTTTATTAAATTCTCATATTTGTGTAAGATGGATGTGCTAGTCCATAAGTAGCTGGTCTACCTTTAAGAAAAAAAAAAAAAGTCTAGAAAGAGGGGATTTACTTAATCCTGTCCACTACAGGACGTGATTTGTAAATATACAGTGAGAATTAAAACCTTATGTCTGCTGAAATTTATTTTAAAAAGAAGTAGAAAAAAATAGCAATTTATTTCAAAATGAAAACTTGCAGTAAACCAAAATTGCTGCTAGTGTGTATGGAAAGGACTCATAGGATTTTTCTAGATGTGCAAGCATCCAAATGCTCTAGTATTTGTGCTAGTCCATGTCTGCTTTTACTTAGCAATTTTTTCACTTGTCTTTAAAGAATTACAGAGTTGATGGGGTATGAGCCAGAGGAACTCCTGGGTCGCTCAATCTATGAGTACTATCATGCGCTGGATTCTGATCATCTGACCAAAACACACCACGACAGTAAGTGAAAAGATGGATTTAAAGCCCTCCAACTACAAGAGATGAGATACAGCACCGGGGAAAAGCAACAGAAGAACGAGGGCTTTCTTTTAATTGCAGATACAAATCTGCAGTGAATACTTATCTTAAATGGTTTATGTATTTTCTGCCTGTAATTAAACTTGGTGTTCTTTCTGCTTTTAGTGTTCACAAAAGGGCAGGTGACAACAGGACAGTACAGAATGCTTGCTAAACAAGGTGGCTATGTCTGGGTTGAAACTCAAGCAACTGTTATATACAACACTAAGAATTCTCAGCCACAGTGCATAGTGTGTGTAAACTATGTGTTGAGGTAAGTTGAGCGTACGTTGCTGTTCTTTGTCATCATTTTTATTGAAGACAAAGTCAGATTCTGATGGCACCACATCTTTTTTTTTTCCAGCTTGCTGAGAATGTGATCCCCTGTTGAATATGTTGTGATGTTACCATTTCCTACCAATGAAATTTTGCTTAGAATACCACCAGTCCTAGGATTACGCGTTGTGTTTGAAAACAAAACACTTTTTTGATCTAGCGATGTCAGTAGGAAGATCTCTGCAGACAAAAGTGTAGGGCCAGCCTCCTCTGTACTATCACAATGGAAGCATTTGAGAATTTATGTGCATTCTAGACAACTCTCTCATCTTTGTCTGCAGTCTGAAGCAGTTAATTTCACTAATAACTATTAGTCATGGAGTCAGAGCAGTAGTAATGGTGTCTGTCTTAATCCTGTTTATCTTTTTGTCCCTTAAAATCCCTTTTTTAATTGAAAGCTTCTACTGAAGGTAGACTTGTTGACTTTTGTGCAGTTGTAGCCCTAAATTATTTTTTCAAAACTTGAGTGAATGTACCAGTATCAATCTATCAACGTATTGTGCATTCATTTAAAAGAGTGTTTTAGGAAATACCAAACTTTCTTTTTTTGTTTATCTTGCTTTCTCAATGCTTTCAGAAAAAACATGTTTGCTTTTGTTACCTTTTTGATGGCACCACAATTAGTGCTTGCTTTGCCTATTATATTTGAGGAAAGAATAAGAAAAATACAATTCTTAAAGCTCCTACCCTCATAACTCTGTGGTGTGGTGTTTTGGGGATGTTGGTTGTTCTTGTTTGGGATTCTTTTTGTGTGTGTGTGTGTGTGTGTGTGTGTGTGTGTTGGGTTTTTTTTTTTCAATTTATGAAACTGTTAAGCCTGAATTTATTCCTTTTAGCTGTTCTTTAACAGTCATCTTCCTCTCTGTCTGACAGTGGAATTGTTCAGAAGGACTTGATTTTTTCCCTTGGACAAACTGAGTGTATGCTGAAACCAGTGGAGTCTCCTGATATGAAAATGACCAAAATATTTAGTAAAGATGACCTGGATGATACCAACAACCTATTTGAAAAACTTAAACAGGAACCAGATGCTTTAACTGTGCTGGCCCCAGCTGCTGGAGACACCATTATCTCTCTAGATTTCAGCAGTAATGGTGGGTGTGCATTTAAATTGGAGAGCATGCTAATTAGTAAAGTTAGTCTTTTACAGTAAACTTTGAAAAATATTTTCCCAGTATCACTTGCCTAGTGGTATTTCAGCTGCTGTTTAAATTTAATGAGGTCCATAGACACGCACAGTATTGTTACTTAGGTTGATGGTTTCTTTTAATTTTTATAGAGTCTGATGAACATCAATGTGATGAAGTTCCTTTGTATAATGATGTAATGCTCCCCTCATCCAGTGAGAAATTGCAGAATATAAATATGGCAATGTCCCCATTACCTGCCTCTGAAACTACGAAGCCACTTCGTAGCAATGCTGATCCTGCACTCAATAGAGAAGTTGTATCAAAGCTGGAGCCAAACACAGAGCCACTCGAACTTTCTTTTACCATGCCTCAGGTGCAAGAGCAACCGACCAGCCCTTCTGATGCAAGTACCAGCCAAAGTTCGCCTGAGGTTAGTTACGTAATTTGGATGTGCTGTCATTAAAATGTGTGTGCTGTTGGGTTTGTGGAGCAAATCTGGTTAAGGATGCAGCCAAGACAGGAATTGAAAATTATTTCTATGTTGTGACCTAAGCTTATGCCGTGATCTGAGGATCTCACATGGAGAACTGTTTTCATTAAAGTGAGTTTTACAGATGCATGCAAAACCACCTGATAGAAATAAGAGCAGCTTGGGATTGGTCTTTCTAGAAAAGAATGGTTGAGACAACTTCTCTAAACAGCAGATTAGTTCCAATAAATTACTGTAGAGGCTACTTCCAGGTTCCAGCTAATTGTGTGCTTCCCAAGTGGGGTGAATTTGAATGTATACTGATAAATGTGTTTTCCTTTTTTTTAATTTTGTGCAACTATAGCTTGGAATTAGTTTTTACATTAGAACATATTTCAGAGAATCTGTAGATACAATGCAAAACAATGTAATGACAGAAAATTAAAACTGCGCTCAAAATGTTTTCACAGCCCAGTAGTCCCAATGACTACTGCTTTGATGTGGATAATGATATGGCTAATGAATTCAAACTGGAATTAGTGGAGAAACTCTTTGCAATAGATACAGAAGCAAAAAATCCATTCTCTACTCAGGTAATGTACATAACTTAAAATTCTGTATCATCTTAGTACTTATTCTCAATGTGCTTCTCTTTCTTTTAAAATGTCTTCAGAAACTTCCTTCCTCTTCTATGTAGTATTTTCATTAAACTGCAAAAAATTATTGTAAGAATTTGGTAAAAAGAATAGCCTTAATGAAGCCATAGCTGAGATGTTCTTACATATTTCTAATTCTTGCCTCTTGTCTTTTTCAGGAAACTGATTTAGATTTGGAGATGTTGGCTCCTTACATCCCAATGGATGATGACTTCCAGTTGCGATCCTTTGATCAGCTCTCTCCACTGGAAAGCAGTTCTTCTGGCTCTCAAAATGCAGCCACCATTACCATATTTCAGCAGACTCAGACACCATCAAGTACTGCTGATGAAATAAAACCAGTGACGGAACATGTGGATGATGTGAAGACACTAATTGTTCCTTCATCTCCTGTCCACATAATGAATGAAACGAGTAGTGCCCCAGCATCACCTTATGGAGGGAACAGGAGTCGAACTGCGTCTCCAATCAGAGCAGGAAAAGGAACGTTGGATCAGACGGAAAAATCTTGTCCAGGAGCACCCAGTTTGCTAACAGTCACTCTGAATAAAAGGTATTTTTAAAAGAGAAGCTTAAGCTCTAGTATCTGTTCAAGAAATTAGATATGATATGCTTTTAAGTACTTCCAACTGTTGTATGTTGTCTTTGGCATTCTACTTCAAAGTAGAAACTGATACGTTTAAATTTGGACATTTCAAATGAGTTTGCTTTTTTTATAGTAAGCTTCTCTAAAATTAATTTTGCAGTAGCTTTTACATAAACATTTTACATCAGAGGCAGCTACTACATGCAAATTGTGTTCATAATTTTGTTCTGCTCTTGTATCTGACATGCAGCTTTTTTAAAAGAAGGCAGTAGGTAATTTACAAGTAGTTATACCCACACAGTATTTCTGGTACTTTTCTTGTTCACTTCGTTATGAGGTAAGAGGTGACTACAGTCTGTGTGCTACATGTATTGCTTTTAAAATGAGCCGTCTTTCATAATGATGGATTGTGGCATATGTAACAGATATTTATCATGATGGAAAACTACAAAATCCAACATCAGACTTTTTATACATAGAAGATTTATCTGCACATAGAAATATTCAGAATAGACTTTTCCTCACCCTTCCCTCCCTTCTTTCTGTTGAAAGTGAATTGCTGAACTTTTATGCTTTTTTTCTGCAAAGACTTTAAAATTTTTGTTATAACTCATTCTGAGCTTCACAGCAAGATTAAAAGCTAACGTTTGTTATGCTCGTAGACAATGATTGTTGAAATGAGTCAGTTATGAAAGAAAAGTAGTATAGCTCATAAATTCAGTTCTGTGATATTGTATATAAGTGTCCACAAAAGAAGAATGGCTTGAGGATAGTAGAAACGTCTTAACAGCCTGAATCAATTTTTCTTAGATCTACTGCAATGGATGAAGAACTAAATCCAAAGATGCTAGCTTTGCATAATGCTCAGAGAAAACGAAAAATGGAACATGATGGTTCACTTTTTCAGGCAGTTGGAATTGTGAGTTTTGTTTTACCATTTTCAAATATTCACTTTTAACCTTGCAATTTCTGAAATGAGGCATCAGTGCAGACGCCTGAGTTTAGCTGTTGGTATGCAGTAGAATCTTGGGATCAGAGATAATTGCTCAATTGTGAAATTCCCACATATATGGAGATTAGTTCTTTTACTGTCGGCTGTTTCAAAAGTGCCCTGTGTACCCAAGCACATTTCTTGATTAGGTAGAAGATACTCTTTTGTGAACATATATGTTCTTCAGTAGAATATGCACAAATGTAAGACATCATTTGAATTTGTAATTGCTGTATTTCTTTCACTTTTGATTTCAGGCTCAGTTTTTGTATTTGTCAATAGTGGAGCTAGTGCTCTTATGCTTCTATCTATGCTTTCATTTTTCCATTTGGTCTGAGATTCTTTTATTTGATCAGATAACAAGACCGTCTAAACCATAAGGGAATAAAATTCATATAACCTCACAAATGTGTATTATTACCACTTAATTTCATGCACACTCTCTCTAGTATTAGTGTGTGTGACTGAGTAGCTAATCATCATCTGTCCTAGCTATTCAAAAGAAACTCTTTAGGTATTCTTAAATTTGTGTCACTTAATTGGGGGCTAGCCAGATCGTTGTTTTCTACCAGGGTATTTTGGCTCCATAGTCTGTCTCTTACTGTCAGTTTTTAGTATTTTGAAATCTTGAGTTTTGCCATTACGTATAGTTCTCTCTTTTCTTGCCTTCATTGCAAATTCCCACTTCTCTTAAATTTTCCACAGTTAGGTCCTCTAATGTAGCCTTTAAGATTCTTTGTTTCTCTAGTGGTCCATCTCCTAGGTGTAGTCATCCATCGTGTCTTACAGTGCAGGATTATTTTTCGTCTGAACTATGAATTATTCCTGTATTTGCATTCTGATTTGGGCATGAGACAAATCACTGTATACAGTCTTTATCATTGTTCTCCTCTAGAAGAGCTGAGAAAGCTTTTATATGTCCCTTTTTTTCTGAGGCAAGCAAACTTCTATTAAAAAAAGTCATACTTGTGTCATTCTTTAATTTGCTAAATGCTTTGCACTTTCATGCATGTTTTTCTGTTGCTTCCAGTAGCCCTATGAGAATTCACAGCTCTGCAAGAAATTTTATTGCCTTTCATGCCTTTCTCATGCGATGGTGCTACAGCTGTCTCATACTGTTGCTAATAAAATATTCATAATAGCATGGGATGTCATTATATACACAGAACTTAAGCAGTTCTGTATTTAACTGCTGTAATAGTGTTCAGGCTTCTATGTTTAGTGCCTTTTTAATGCTTATAGGTTCAAACTTCATCTTTTGATAGACCTTTTTCTTTTTTTTGGTATCTGACAAAAGCGTGATAAATATTTTGATGGTTTCTGCAGTCAGAAGCTGAATTTTCAATGTAGCTGGGTCTTATGGATGTTATTTCAAGCAAGTGCTTTTGTTGTTTGCCTTCTTTCTCCACAGTGGATTTCTGAGAGGATGAACTAGGCTTTGCACATGGACAGAAGAAAAATTATGTTAAACCCAGGCTAATAATACGTCGTATTCTGGGACTGTGCAAAAACTTGCCACAGCTGCTTAGCTATAAGGAAGCAGGACTCTGCAAAGGGTGAAAATATGTGAAGACCAAAGTAAAATATTGCTTTAGTTTTCTAGAAAACAGGAGAATTAGACAAGGGCAAGATGTGTTATAGTAAGATTATAAAATAATGACACAAATCATTACATTGAAAAAGATAGGAGCTATATCTCTCTTATTATGAAGGTCTGTACTGCATTCACAGAAAGAAAAAAAAAAAAACAACAAAAAACCAAAAAAACCAACCAACCAAAAGCCAAAACCAAACTCCAAAAAACCATCAACAATGTTAGGTGACTGCCCCTACTATGAAATGCAGCTTCTAAGTCTGAGTTGTTTAACTATAGCTTCTATTATACAACTGTCCTTTTGACTTGCATGGATGTTTTATAACCTCAAAATGTATCTTCTTTATTTAGTGTTCAGGATAATGGCAGTGTTCTGAAATACCTTCTCCTCTTTTTGCAACAGTCAGTACCACTAACAAGACAAAACTTTGCAGGTTCAACTACTTTTGCTAGCAAACTTGGTACTAAGATGGCGTTTCTTCCTTCCATCCCATCTGTTTCGGTGGCAGCTTCTTCTTACTTATCCTAATTATATGGAGCTCTTAAAAGCTTTCTAATCTCCATATCTTCTATGCTGCTGTCAAAACAATATGCTAAGGAGCCGTATCTGCAATAGAATGGCTTAGGACTGCATTCCCCACAAGACTTGGGTTGGATGGCTTGGTGGCAATAACTGGAGTGCAAGCAGAATTTACATCTTAAATTTAGATAGAATCAATCTACCAAGGTTTCTGAATCTCCTGTCTATGCTGTTAAATCCAGTGTGGAAAACCATTAGGACTTCAGTGAAAACCTGATGCTTACACAAGAGCAGTGGTAATTAAATGGGTGTGTGTATATATATGTACATGCTAATCTTAAGCATGGTAACTGATGATAACCAGTAATTGTTTTCTGTAAGGGAAGTGTCTTAATCTGATTCAATTTTCTTTTAAATAGTTTTCAGGGCCAGTGTACTTGGAAATAGTTTTCTCCCCAAGATCTGAATGAAGTTCGCTTTAAATTGTAACAATGCCTATATCAGTGATTAGTGACAGGAATTTAGCTTGGAAGAGGGATGTGGAGGGCTAGAAGGATACAGTATTCAATAAAGATTTATTTTCTTTCTTTCTAGGGGTCTTTATTCCAGCAGACAGGTGACCGTGGAGGAAATGCATCACTTGCTTGGAAACGTGTAAAGGGATGCAAAACAAATGGTCATAATGGAGTGGAGCAAAAGACAATCATTCTACTATCAACTGGTTAGTATCCTCTTTTAATATGTAGAGGGGGGTGGAGAGGGCTGTGTGAAAGAGAGAACGGAGTGACAAAAACATCCAAACTTGCTTCCTTTATGAACAATTTTGGAGGAAAGGTTAAGCATGGTGAATAAAGTGTGCTTTTTCTCCTTCCCCTCCCTCTTTAGACATAGCAAGTAAACTTCTAGGGCAGTCGATGGATGAAAGCGGACTACCCCAACTCACGAGTTACGATTGCGAAGTAAATGCTCCCATACAAGGCAACAGAAACCTGCTACAGGGGGAAGAATTGCTCAGAGCTCTGGATCAAGTTAACTGAGCTTTCACAATACTTGTTCCTTTTTTGGACACTGGTGAATCATCACCTAAAGCAGTCTATTTATATTTTCTATATCTGATTTTAGAAGCCTGGCTACAGTACTGCACTAATTCAGTTAGTTCAGTTTTGATCCCCTTTCTACTTATTTTGACAGTCTTTTTAATATGTTCTTTATGTAACAATAACTCAAACTACAGTGCATTTTTATAATTCTTTGGTACATACACTTTTAAGTCCATTACATTTAAAACACACTTGCAATAGCAGCTTTGAAATATGCACCTAATTTTAAAAAAATATTTATTTTTTGGCTGGGGAGTTGGTCACCAAAACTTATCATGAGTAAAATGTCAACACAGGAAAAACTGGCAATACTTCCATCCTGCTTTTCATAGGTAGCTGGAAGACTTGTGCTCTCTTGCTCTTTATGTTCAAATAAGTTTTTTATTTTAATAGTTTTTATAAGAAACAACAATGCTTTGCAGCAGTGCATTGTAGCCACAATCGCACAATATATTTTCTTAAAAAATACCAGCAGTTCCTCATGCAATATATTCTGCATTTATAAAAACTAGTTTTTAAGAAGAATCTTTTGTTCGCTTATGAAATCATGTTTAAACCTGGATTATGTCATTATTTTAGTCACATTGTAATATAAATTGTTCTTAAATGCTGTCTTATGCTTTTGACTTAAATGAGTGTGGTTAGTCAAAGGAAAGGCTTTATCTGGAAAGGGCTAGCAGCATTTTATTTGGATACGTTCTCAATTTAGAGAGAGATTGATGTTCTTAAAGTAGTCACTTTGCCAGCTTAAAAAAAAAAATTCCCTGCCTGTAGTTGTTGAAGTTAATGCTAATATTGTGTATGATCTTAAATCTAAATGTTCAGCTTACCCTGTGTGGTATAGGTGATATTTCAAGCAGATTGTAAAACATCTTGCATTGTTAGCAAAGTTATCTAGTACATCATTGAGTTGCTCAATATTTTGATGTTTTGGTTTTATGCACCTTGTTGCTATTAACATCCATATGTTTTCATGTAGATTTCAGTAACTTGAATATATTTAGAAGCCTTTTTATTTAGAAATATATAGTTGTCACAAACATCTTATTTTCCTATATGTACTGTACAAAACCTTCATTCACTCATTCTTTTGCTCTCTGTGGTTGGATCTAACACTAACTGTATTGTTTTCTTACATCAATAAACTATATGTGGACCAGGCCCCCTTGGGGAGTGTGTTATCTGAGAGAAATGAGATAATTTATATTTTTGTTAGTGGTTATTGTTCATCCGTGTTCCCTTTTTAACTTAGAGTTGATTGGAAATCACTGCTTCCTTATTTTGATTGTAACATCTCCACGTTAATTATTTGAGCCTATTCAGTACTGAAGTCTCCTAGACAGTGTTGTACTACCGCTCGCCAAAGATGTTAAACTTTTAAATCTGTTATCACACCAGTTAGCAAACTTGAAAGTGAGGAGACAGCATATTTGTGTTACTTCAGAGTGGAAAGATTCTTCCTTATGAACAGCTTAAAGTCTTGTCTCTGGAAGCTTTATCAAGGTAACATTGGAAAGTAGGAAAAAGTAAAATTCACAGGAGTGATGAATTCAAGATGGATTTTTATCATAAAACTGCATGATTTAAAAATTAAGCTGGTGCTTGATGATAAAGCTTGTTCTATATTCTTGTGTTGTTGACTCAGTAACTTTGACTAGGTGACTTTTCTCATTTCGCTGTCGTAAAACACAATGCTACTGATACAACCTTGTAATGTGCAAATGAGGTCAAGATATTTTGTGCGTTCTTCAAACTATTTGAAAAACTTATCTTGATGTAGGAAATCACATGTGGAGTGTCACAAGAATTATTTTGGGTTTATTTTGGAAACTGGTTTCATTAGACTCTTGAGTCTTTTAAAATCAATATAATGGCACATAAGATTAACATGTTTTCTAAAATTGTTACCGTTTCACTGATATGAGCACTTTTCAAACTGATATAACTATATAAAACTAAATTGAGACTATTAGCTACCAACTGAAAAAAGTTAAGGCACTGGTGTAGCAGAAGATGGTTGCATAATTCTTAAAGTTTGAGTAGAAGTTGCACAAAGAAAGAAGAAAGTGTCTAGGTGTGCTAAGCTAGAGTTGAAGCTTTGTGCAGAGAACACTTTGAATATATACAGCTGGTACTGAATATTAAAGTTTATTAGCGTGGCCTTTAAGTGTACAAAGTGTACAAAGCTTATATCTCTAGATAAAAGCAGCAGAGCTACTGCATGCCTGCTGTTTGAGGTCTCCTGGATAGCATTCTTATCATGGCATTTTTTTCTCTGTCAGCAGTTAAAAGGTTTAATAGTGAAGTTGCTGAAGGCTCAGGTAAAGCACCAGCTGTTAGGGGCACCCCTTATGCTTAGGTCTGCATGGATTGACATGATGCTTCTGTGAGACAGTGAGGAGAGTCTCCCAGACATGTGAAAGGTACAGGTGTGTTCTGCTGTTCTTGCTGGCCTGGTGGGTTATCCCTTCTCATCTCCCAAGAGACATTTTGTACCATGTTCTGCTACTCTCTTGACCTTATTTTGGAGGAGCCTGACTGCTTTGGATGTGTCAGGCCCTCTTCAGTGTACTTTGAGAGCAGTAAATTTCCACGGAGAAAAATCCATGTTAAAAAGAGGAGGAAGACTTAAGTGACCCACATGATTTATGGTTATGAGCCTGCTGGAATTATCTCTAGTCTTTAATGACAGCAGCTGTGGATTTAAATGAGCTATGTTTCATCTAAGAATCTCCCCAACTTTCATATTTGTTATTGTACCTAATAACAAGGCATAGTATTTTGTTCCCTGTCCTGGTAAAAGTGACTGAAACAAGCAATTAATGGCATGAACTGTACTAGCTGTATTGGTTTACTCTAGGGACAAAAACAAACTAAAACCCCCCACCAAACCTCCTAGAGATACTGAAGAAAGCATGGAAAAGTAACAGTAGTTACTCTGGCCTTGTAAAGTCTTTGCTAAATGCAGATGTGGTTTGCAAAATGTAGAAGTATGCCTTTAGCTGCTTTTTTCTGTTTGTGTTTTACTTTTTTTTAAGACTCTTGGAATACACATCCTGATTTTAAATCTACTTTGGAGGACAACTTTATAGAATACATTACTTTCTAAATGTTTCTTTAGTGATTTTGATTAATTTCTTCACTGACAACTACATTTTCAGATGTTGAGGTATTACCCTAGAGCATTTATTCTTCGCCAGTAGTAAAGAAGAAACTGTAGGTAGATACAGTGTTTCCTTCTGCATAGGAAACATGCTCGACTATGTGGAAATGATAAACTGAGGAGAATAACAAAGCTTCCAGAAGATTATTGTAACTTCAGCAGTAGTCAAGCCATGCTTTCTTTGTGGCATAGCACAATTATTTTTTACATACGGATTCTAATTGATGTTTTTATCAACAGCAGTGATGGTTTTGTTAAAAGGTAAAGGAATTTTTAAACTAGTATTTATGATATGATTTCTTTACTTGAAAGTAGTTATATGTAACTACAGCTGTAGCTCCCAAGAAGTCACTGAAGTCTGCTGTCCAGTAACTTGATTTTGGGTGTAACATACTGAGTAAATTAAGGTAGCCTGGAGTCCAAATTATACCCTTCTAACATACCTTGCTCTCATGTACTGAGATAAGCTTGGACTGTGTTTATTTTTTGTCTGTTTCACCCAAAGGTTTTCAATCTACTAAGTTTCCTGTGTGTCTGCGTACAGACATCAAAGTAATTATAGAATGAAAGAATTGCAGATGAAGGCCAGAAAGAACAATTAAAACTTTGCACATAACACTGGTAAGAATTTAAAGACTTCAGAGCTTATTTTTGATTAATTGATCAGCTCTGCTTCCCATGAAATACAGCTGTAGGATCAAAAAAGTCTGATTACAGGTTAAATTACCCCATATTTAATAGTAATTTTTCTTTATTTAAAAATCTGTTTAATTAAACAGCTAAAGAAGGGGACCTAAAGGCAGAAAGGTGGGGTGTTTCACCCCTATCTGTTGGCAAACTTTCTTACCCATTACACTGCTTTCCTTTGACAAATGGTGCTGTGGAAGCTGGGAGTTGAGTACCCTACCACTGTCAACCAGGCTGGACAAGCCCAAGGTCAGCCATCTGCTCCCATCCCTACTGATTAGCTGCTGCCAAACAGAATATGTCTCACTCAAATGTCACTGCACTTACGCACATTATTCAAACTGTGTTTGTCCAGCATGAAAAGAAATGTTTCAGAGGCCAGGAATATCTTCCATTTCATAGACCATTTTCATAGGAATTCATGTGAGTTGGGTATCCAGCTTTCAATACCATTAGCAATTAGACACTTGACTCCCTCAAACTCCATTCTGGAGAACTGTGATTTTTGATTAAATTCTAGAAATGAGATGTCATTTTCCTTCTGCTTCCCTGTTTACCTTGATCAAGGCTTTCCAAATTACCAAAAGTTAAAGAGTTTGCTACTGGATTTATACAGTATGGTAGATTTTGTGAATAATAGCAGTATTCATTAAGAAGTGGTATATTTTAATGGATTTTTTTTTTGGAACCAAGTACATCGTATTGCAATTGATATTTCTCTTGAAACATTTTGACATACTTGTGACTGTATTTCTTTTTGATTGTGTAACAGTAAAAGATTCAATAAAAGAGAGGGTTTGTTTCTAATTTGTGACATCTGTGACCTTTCTGTTTTATCTGTTACCTTTTGTTCATAGAATGGAAGGGACCTTAAAGATCATTCAGTCCCAACCCCCCTGCCATGGGCAGGGACATCTTCCACTAGACCAGGTTGCTCAAAGCCCCGTCCAACCTGGCCTTGAACATTGCTTGGG